TACTTTTATACGTACATATTCAGCTGTACGTGATGTGAGGGTATTTGTACGTATGTATACACAACTAGGCAGAGTTGTTAACGTGGCGTATTTAGCAATCAGATAACATCAAAATATTAAAATGCGAAAGATTTAATTTTCAAAACACGCATACATATTTACATGCATTGAACTTGACGTAACGAGTATAAAATTGCCTTAGAAATCTAAAAAAAAATATTAAAAATAATTTTAAATAATTTATGGGAAGTCAGATTTAATAAATGCAACCAATTTTTTTTTTTTTTTTTTTGCACCATTAGCTCAACGGAGCCAGCAGCGCCATGTGAATCCCACAGCGGTGAGAAACGAAAACAAACACGCACACGTGTAGCATTTAACGGTCTGCTTGTTGGTGCAGTTCACGCCAATTTGGCTGTCATTTAACTCTAAAACATCATCTGTCAAAGGCTTAATTAGACGATTTTTCATCTCATTCAATTATATTTGTTGATGGTACAAATTTCGAAAAGTTTATTTTTCCAAATGCCAATACAGAACGTCTACGTAAATGCCCGTTAATTCCATTTTCGTCAATTAATTCGAGGAAAATTTCCAATCATGTAATAAATGCTATGTGAAACAAAGACAAATAAACAAAATACATTTATGGCGAATTTTTATTTTTCCATTTATTCAATTAAATTTTTGATCATTTTTTATTTGTTTGTTTATTTTCATTGTTCTGAGGAAAAAATGTAAATAAGTTTTTCTTAAAAAAAAATAATAAGCCTACACCTTAAACCTTAACATGTGTATGAATATTAAATTTACGCTTTCTGAACTAAAAAATCAAGGAATTTCGTTCTTTTATTTAACAATCATTTTTTTCATGAGAAAATTAAGAAAAAAAAAATCAAACGAAGGATCTCAATGCTACAATACATATATACATATATATTAGGATAAGTGAAAGTGAATTCAATGCATCAAAGGCATGCAGGCTTCATTAACCACAATTAGAATTATTAGAATTATCAATTTCATTCAGACTCTCCCATAGAAATCCTTGTCTGTTTACTGTTTACTGTTTCTTTTAGAAGGTCTAATTGCTGACAGTATGATTTCTAGTCAATCACATCAAACACATAACAAAACCTTTTTAGCCGTCAATTCTGGCTTGGACACCGCTTGCGCCAACTCACTGTCCTTCGACCACGACCATTTTCATTTGACATTGCTGTAGGTGATCCATTTTTCATCACCTGTCACAATTCGATACTGAAATAGGTCGGGTTTCTTACGGTTCAGCAGAGATTCAGAGTTGCCAATTCGGGGCGTGAAGTTCTCTACGCCGTTAATTCATCGTTTTTTATTTCGTATCCAAGCGGTTCCAAATGTTTTTTAAGCAATGTTTGGCCCTTGTGTAATCGTAACAATGATCATGAGACGATTAGACTGAAGATTTCTTATTATTTTTCAGAAAATGACGACGATTATCCTCTGCAACAGATCCGGAATTTCGATAAAACACTTCAATCCTTCTAGTAAGCAGATTAACCATGGTCTTTCGGCTTCACCAGATGTAATCTTCTGCGTTGTCCCGTCACTATGGATAGTCACAACTATAAGTTATAAATATATTCTTCTATAAAAGAAGCCGCCAACAGCTGCTTAATGGCATCCTAGGGATCAACTCCGGAGATGCTCGGCAGAAAGGCAAATCAGATCTTTATTATAGTTTCCATAGAGATAATTCGTTGTGAAATACTCCTGAAAAACTAGCTGCCAGCAATATTTCAAAAAAAGGCAAATGTGCTTACATATCCTCAAAAACTTCTCATCACTTAGCGTGTAATTTGTAAAGCGGAAACAAAAAGCAATTATTGAATTTACATAATGCGCAAATTTCTGCTGACTTCACAGCCCTCCCAAAACAAACAAAAGAAAACAAAAAAAATTTATAAAATAAAAAATAAAAATCTTTCGACGCTGCAAATGCAATGAAAGTCGGCGAAATGCAGAAACTAATTCAAATGACTTGCAATAGCGAATGACAAATTGCATTTGATTGTTTATTTTGATTTTCGCCTACTCCTTTCTCTTGAGGGCGTGCTTTGCGCTACATCGCACCAACACACGTACGAGTACACACAAAGAAATCAGTACATACATACGTAAGTGATGAGTCAGTGAGTTTGAAATGGAAATTATTACACAATTTTTTTTATTCATCTTTTTTTCTTTTAACAAATTCTATGCCACGAAAACAACAACAACAACAACTGCTAAATTTGCACATGAAAAAAGTGGAAAAAAAATTTTTTTCAGTTATATAAATGTCAAAGTAAAAATAACAAATGATCACATACATACATATACAAATGTACAGTTATTGCAATAGCAATAATAGCCTGACAGCCATCAAATGTGGAAAAGTTCAAAATTAATGCATTGCAATGAAAATATATATACATTTGTATCGCTATATGTATATGTATATATGTACATATATCTATGTATGAACGCCAAGAGCGAGACCCGTTGCCACGTGCGCCAAGGCAATCGTAGGTAAATCAGTATGTATGTATGTATGTATGTATGTATGTATGTACGCGGCAATCGATGTGCAGCGAGTGTTGGTGGCTAATGACGATTGCATTCTCTCACGTCAACTACAACAACAACAACAACAACAAGGAAATAGCGGCGAATGTTAATAATTGTAATTGAAAACCATCAAAGCTGACAAACTGCCAAGCCACCCATGCTACAATGCGTTTCAAGCGAAGATTGCATGATAGTGCACGCGTAAATGCATAAAGGGTGTTCTTTTGGGAGAAGAAGGAGAAAGAAAACACATATACTTTAAGAAATTACATTACATTAGGCAAGGGACCGCTGCGGCTCCAATATATTCGCAGTGAGAGCCACAATTTTCGACCACTTTTTTCAGCAACTCGTCGATTATTCCAAGCCATAGCGTCAACCGTCTCGAACTTCTCTGCGTAGCCCGTCCCGACGTCGCATAATGCCACAAAAATTTGTCCAGCGATGTTGAGAGGTACGCTCTTGGAGACCACACCCCGACGCCAGCTATTAAACTCACCTATAACATTTTTCCGGCTCTATTTTTGAAGAAATATGAATTATGGCATTTCTCTCTGTACATGTAGCACACCAAATTGACTTTTTGATGATGTATCGGCGCCTCAACGGGTAAACAAAACATTTCTTTTGAAAATCGGGACTGGTGGTTATCTTGTCTTGCTCACATTCGCCGAATGTGCGAAGCGCTTGATGGTCGCTCGGCTTCAAATCTTACATGAGCTGGATTTTGTATAGCGCGCTTACCAAGATCCTTACGCGAAATCTCCAAGAAAGTGGGTTAATGGATTGATGTAGCTCCAATCCCTGAAGCTGCGAATTATCAACTAGAGTAAAAGTCGAGCGAAGTCGAGCCATGCTTGCTCGAATTACCAACTCGACTCGGCCATTGGGGTCGCTTGGCAAACTAAGCCGAGTTTAAATCAAGTAACAGGTGTCAACAAGATCAATTTCAAAAAGAAGTGTGGTCTCATTGAAAATCTGTCATTTAAAAAATCACCCTCTATAATGCGTTTAAGGAAAAGTCATTAAATACGTATATACTCAGTCACACGATTGTGCCTTTGGCATTTCTCTGCTGTTAGCTGCGTGTGGTGCACATTACGCATGCATGCAGATGTATGTATGTATGTTCAACATGTTATGCGGATATCGCGTGCAAATGACTGTAGGCAGCTAATTAGCTATACTCACACACACAAACAGACATTTACATAACTACCCTGCAAGGTAAGGTCAGTTAGTTTTGAAAAAAAAAATTCGAACTAGTTCATTTCCCATCAATTTCTCTACTTAACAACTAGTCGCGTGCCTACTACGTGAAACCGTACATCAGGCATCCACTCATGGCTAATATGGATCCGCGTAGTTTGGTATTCACAAAGGATATTCTGTCGATTTTGTCGGTTACACGGATGTGTATAAGTATAAACGAACAGATTTTTCAAATAGATATAGGAAAAATAAATTAATTTAATTGGTAATAAAGACGCTTACATAATACTTCTAGAAAAAAATAACGAAAAATTGGCTTTTTGTAGGTCTTATCTGGGAGCTGTCGCTTCTTTTCAAATACTAACTGAGTAATGCTGCACAAAATGTCAGTTGACGGTAAATTGATTTATTTCATACTAGTTAAGCACTAGTTCATTCATGCACATTGAATATTACTTTATCGAAATAAAGTTAAACCAAAAAATAGCTGTCTTGGGCCATGTCAGAGTCTTAATATTTTTCTTTAAATTCTAAAACTCACATCTGAACAATCGGTTGTGGAGGACCTACTCCTGCTACTTTCCAATTCCGGTGATTTTTCTTATAGATATTTCTTTGAATTTACGTGTGCTGAATACCAAAATTCACGTCCATAGATATATATATTTTTTTTATTTTTAAAAATTTATGCCTCGAAATTTCAAGTCTTAAAATTCGGTTATATTTTTTTATTTTCCTTATCGGTTCCAACAGTTGATAAATACAGCGTAAAAATACACATCAAGTTTCATTGAAATACCATAAGTACTGATAGACGAACTTGGCTAAATCGACGCAGCTGAGTTTTTTATGGATCACTCATTTCTCCTTCTGATACTTACATACTTCAAACCAAAGTCAAGTCATGAAAGGTAAAAAGATTCTATCTACGGTGAGTTGTGAGCCATAACATCGCATACCTGGCGGCGAGAATAGCTAACCACTCGAGCAAACCAATGAACTAAAAAGTACGGACTGAGTTTCCTTCTACTACAGAGTGCATAGACAGATAAAGTTCCCTTTACTACTACATATTATATGCACGTACTTGCTAGAAAAAAACTAACTAGTATAATGCCAGCTCTAACAAAACACCTTACAAACTGGTAGTCTTATGTACTAGTGTAACTTTTGACTACCGATATACACACGCAACTCACCATAGTTAATAACGCCGGCTGTTATCGTTGCATTGTCACTGCCATTGCCACTGCTATGCGCTCTCGTTGTCTGCCCACTGCCCGCTGTCGTCGTTAATGCTGACAATAGTGCATTTGCTGTATTCGGCTGTCGGCGTATTTCCTTGAGATTAGCACGTATTTGACGTGGTTTCTTGTCCTGACAGATTGTGGGCGCCATAGTTACTAAGCAGCAGCTTTGTAGATTGCGTATTTTATGACTGTTGGTCAAGTTGATGACGTCGGTAGGATTGTGAAACTGCAAAAAAAAAAAACGATATGGATTGATTAGATAATGCATTAATTAATATAGTTATATGAATAGTAGGTGTAGATGTAACAGGAACATTACAAATATATACATACAAAAAAGTAGCAACAGTCGATCATTTGAAATGCTATCTTTTTGAGGTTGTAAAAAATAGGGATTATGTAATTTATTTACTTTTTATAGAGCAAAAATGCAAATATCTTCGTGTTTATCGCCTAATTACAAGACGATACTTTAATTTTTTTTTGTAATTTCACAACTCTCTAAGCAACATAAGAAGATTCTTGGCTTTACTGTGTGGGAAATACTTCTTGATTTTTTAGTTATCTAAATAATTTAATTAGTAATTTTATTTTTAAATAACTTTAAATAACCCAACTTTCTCTTAGGTACATTCGTCTTATAATTTTAACAACTGCCCTTCTGAAGTACTTTTAAATCGTTTTTCAACTAAAAGTCTAGAGCTTATTACAGTATCTGCCGCTATTTATTTCACATTCCAATAACTTTATATTTACACGATATTAGATTATTTACACTCGTGTGCACCGAAATTGTCGACTTTTGAACACCTCAAGTTGTTGTTAAACAACAAACAACACTCCTGCATACATACATATATACATACATACACATATTTCAATTGTACACAGGACTACATGCATACGAGTATAAAGCATAGTAGAGCCACATCGAACTTACAAACAGACATAGCGAAAAAATACGATAAACATTAAAGGAAAAACAAGCAGAGAAACCAGCATATCACGAGAGAACAACAACAAAAAGCAATAAGAACAACTTTTTAGCCCCTCGGAAAAGGGTGGAGAGAAGAAAATCACTACACATGCCAGTGCTGAAAACAGTACATGTGTACATACGAATATGTATGTATGTATATTCAAACATACGATTGTACACAGCACATTGGCCTACAAAAGTTAAACAAAACAATGGAAAATCTTCATGTAAATAGATATGTATGTATGTATGTATGACGAAAGTAAGACGACGGCACGTGTAGCGTCTGCAATTAGAAACATTCAAACATACACATATATGAAAATACAAAATACTATAGAATTTTAAAATTTCATATTCAAGGCGAGTCGTCTGACAATGCCTAATGGATAACAGTGGGTGTAATAAATATGTAAATAAAAATTATGAAAAGAAAAAATTTTGTAAATAAAGGATGGTAACAAAATAATAAAGAAAAAACTGAGCATATAATAGTTGCATAAATGTTAATACGACTATATTGTTTTTGCTTTAGCTTTCATTGTGGGGATCGTCAAAATAGCCGAAAGGCTTGTATAAAGGCAGAAACAATTTTGGAAATAAAATAAATTAAAAATAAAACAAAATAATATAAAATAAATTAAATACTTTAAACAAAATAAAATAAAACGAAAAATAACTAAATAATAAAAATTAAAATAAATTAATTCAACAAAATTAAATTATATTATATATAATAATAAAAAAGGTGAATATATGAATTTAAAAAAAAATTAAGTATAAATTAATATAAAATAAAATAATATATAATATAATTAAATAATATCCCAAATCTAATAAAATAAATTCCAATAAAGTAAGTAATAAATATTTAATAATATATAATTAATATTAAGCAAAGTAAAAAATTAAAATAAAATAAGCCAAACAAATATAGTAAAATAAACAAAAATAATAAATATAAAATTAAGAAAAATAAAATAAAATGATATAATCAAAAAAAAAAAAATAATTTAATTAAAATGAAAAAATACGAAAAAAAAATAAAATAAAATAAATTAACATAAAACAAATGAAATAAAATAAAAGAATTAAAATTAAATTAAATTATAATAACATAAATAAGGTAGAATAAAATAAAATAAAATAGCCGAAAAAATTAAAAAGTAAAAAACTTAAAAAAATTAAGTAATTCGAAGTAAAATAGAATAAAATTAAATAAAATAATATAAATATTAAAAAATAAAATGAAAATAATAAAATAAAAATAAATACATAAATCAATTCAAGTGAAATTAAATTCAATAAGAAAAAAAGATAAACTAAAATAATATATAATATTATATAATATAATAAATAAAGTTAAATGCAAATAAGTAAAATAAAAAATACAGTAAAACTAATTATTACAAAATATTATAAAATAGAGTAAAGCAGAAACAGATATAAAAGAATAAATAAAAAAAAATATTTAATAAAAAAATAATAAAATAATGACTATACTCGTCAGTGAGTTTGAACCAGACTATATTTGCTTTTCGACAAAATGATTTTCCAGTTTTAATTGAAATATTGTATAACTAAAGCCTGAGAATATTGTGAAACCTCGGTTGGCTTCTCTGATTTTCGTCTTACAAAGATTTAAATCATGCTTTATATTATATATATTGCATTTCCCGGTATTAGAGAGAACGAGTAGGCGGTATATTAATATGATAACGGTATTTTTATATATAACCTACCCAGTATTTTCATAACCACAAGAATATTGTAATTTCTGTACTCCTTAACCTTCTTCTGCCCAGTAAAAACTCACACTCAAGAAAATACGATTTTATTTTTAATCCAACGTTTTTACTTTATTAAAAACAACCGTTAGGTGTTAGAAAAAAGGAGATGACTGCTGTGATTAGGGCAACTTGCAAAATCTCGTGAGAATAAAACTCACGACGCACCGATGCAGTGAAGTGTGCAACGAAACACTAAAAGTGACAGCTTGAAGATGTGCTGAGATAAGTTTTCTGGATTGAAGGTGAGCAAAAGTTCTAGAATTGTTGTTATGAAATTGTTTTTGCTTATGGCTGATTAACGAAACCCAATTGCTAACCTTTGCTTTTTAAACATTTCTCTATTATACATAAAAGTTCACCAAAATATTGGTGTTGTTTTTGTCTTATTTTTTTTTTTTTTTTTTTTTTTTTTTTTTTTGATTTTTCTTTCTTTTGTCTTCTTTGTGTTATGAAAGCGAGGTTAACATTAAACCTAAAAGTCAGTCTTGCATGAAATTAATGTGTATATATGTATGCATGAGAAAAATGATACAAATACCCAATAAGCATTTTGGTTTGAGTTGATTGAAATTGTGTTTAAATTGATTTAAATTAGTTGTTTTCTTATTTCGTACATCTAAATTCTGAGAATTGTGCAACGCGAATTTATTTTTCTTATTAGAAAAATCAGTTTGTTATTTCACAACACTCCATCAGCAAACATTGCTTACAAACTGTAAAAAAAATTTGTGTAAATGCAACTCTGTTATCAAAAAAAAAAGTCACCTATTGCTCAAAGGTGAAATTTATTGAAATATTTCAACGCATTGTTGACAGTTTTGATACTATTGTTGTGTTGTTGCTAGTTGCTTTATAAGCGAAAAATGTCAACAGTGTAAGAAATGAAAAATATTGCTCACTACTGCTCACTGCCTGGTGCACCCTATGGACAGAAAGCGTCCGCAATCCATATTTCTTTAAAAATGAAGCCGGCCTTAATGTTTTAGTCAAATTTCAGTCAAAGGGAAACCCTGTAAAGCCAGGATGAATGACTGTTTCGTGCTTGAATATGCCGTACAGCGAACAAAGCAATCAATTTATTGAAACTATTGGTGAGCGTAGATCGTAGATACCGCTGGATCATTTTTTCTTGACATTATATGAAGTTCCTTGTCTACGCACATAATCCCGAGACGTCTGACGCTTTGGAAGAGAATACTCGACGCTAAAAAATTAGGTAAAAGTTAGGCATTTCCGCTGGAATTTATTCGGTTACTTGTCTGAAGTTGTTTTTGTAGCATAATGCAAAAGCTTATCATTATAATGAAGCTAAATTCTTGGCAATAACATTGAATTATATGCGCTTTATTTATACTTGAAAACCAATTCAGTTATTATCAGTTTATATGAAAACCACACACACACACTTCATTTTCCATTAGTGATAAAACGAGTAGTAAAAAATGTTTAAAAATATTTTTATTGAAAAAAACATATTTACTTCCAACGAATAATGGAAATTTAATAACCTTTCTTCCCAGAGGTTTCTTCGTTATTTCAATGAAAAAATATTGTGCGCGATAGCCGACAGTCAACAATGCGTCAAATTATTTGCACTCGTATGTACGCTTATTACACGCGCCAGCAAACCGTCTACCTCGTCATTTGGAAAATAAAAACGCGTAAACCGGCCTAACAGGTCATATGCTCAAGTTGTTTTTGGGCTTGACTAAAAACGAGCCGGCCGCTTCTGCCTAAACAAATTCTCGTGTATGTTTTGTATACACACGAGTATATGTATGTATGTATGTTTGTGCTTCTCACAGCCCACACTTGATAATCTCTTTTCGGTGTGCGATTCGTAAATGACGACAATGTACATATTTTTTTTTTCAATTTTTGTTGTTGCTCTATTCTCTTTATATCTGTCATTTACAAGTCTTAAATAGAGATATGTATGTGTATATATGTATACGTATACATTAATAGCCACTTGGATATGTATTTATCGTTAGAAACGATTTTTGGCTTAGCATACACACATACATACGCGCATTCATTCTTTTACAGTTATTATTATTTATGTACCTATGTGTATGTGTTTTTATTATATGCGCGCGCGTGTTTGTTTTTGATTTAATTTTATTTTATTTCCATTTTTGTTTTTGTTTTAATGCATTTGTAGGTAATAGGGTTACGCGCGTTTTTTAGCTCCGTGCAGAGCTCTTACTGCGTGTCTGACTTCTCGTCGCATTGCGTTTATCAATTTCTCAATTTACGCCCACTTAAGTTTAGCCGCCAGCGAAGCGGGTAAACAAAACATATGTACTCGTATGTATGTGGTACTCCTGTTCAACGACATGATAATTAGAGAATATCTATGTACATAAGTATGTGCGATATGGGGGGTTGTCACTCTAAATGCGAAAAATATCGTACAATTTCGGTATTGTTTTAAAATAAAATAAAGGGTGTTTT